GGAATCTTTGGGGTTTTCTAGATATAAGATCATATCATCAGCAAAAAGTGACAGTTTGACCTCCTCTTTCTCCATTTGGATACCCTTAATTTCCTTCTCTTGTCTGGTTACTCTGGCTAGGACTTCCAGCACCATGTTGAATAGAAGTGGTGACAGTGGGCATCCTTGTCTTGTTCCGATTCTAAGTGGAAATTCTTTCAGCTTTTCCCCATTCAGCGCGTTGGTGGCTGTGGGTTTGTCATATATGGCTTCTATAATTTTGAGATATGTTCCATCTATGCCTGTTTTGTTAAGAGTTTTTGTCATAAAAAGTTGCTGAATTTTGTCAAATGCTTTTTCTGCATCTATTGAGATGATCATATGATCTTTATTTCTGCTTATGTGGTGAATCACATTTATGGATTTATGTGTGTTGAACCACCCTTGCATCCCTGGGATGAAGCCCACTTGGTCATCGTGGATTATTTTTTTTGATGTGCTGCTGAATTCGGTTTGCTAGAATTTTATTGAAAATTTTTGCAGCTATTTTCATAAGGGATATTGGTCTGTAGTTTTCTTTTTTTGTTGTTGTTATGTCCTTTCCTGGCTTTGGTATCAAGGTGATACTGGCTTCTTAGAATGAGTTGGGGAGGATTCCTTCCTTCTCAATATTATGAAATAATTTCTGCAGTATGAGTACCAATTCTCCTTTGTAGGTCTGATAAAATTCAGCTGTGAAACCATCTGGTCCGGGACTTCTTTTTTTGTTGGAAGATTTTTTATTGCTGCTTCAATTTTGTTGCTCGCTATTGATCTGTTCAGGAGCTCTGTTTCTTCCTGATTGAGCTTTGGGAGGTTGTATGTTTCCAGGAATTTGTCCATTTCCTCAACGTTCTTGAGTTTATGTGCATAGAGATTTTTACAGTATTCACAGATGATATTTTGTATTAAATACTTCTGTGGTATTAGTTGTAATATTTCCTTTTTAATTTCTGATTGAGCTTATTTTGGTCCTTTTCTGTTTCTGATTAATCTAGTAAGAGGTCTGTCAATTTTGTTTATCTTTTCAAAGAACCAACTTTTTATTTCATTAATCTTCTGCATTATTTTTTTTGTTTTCAATTTCATTTAGTTCTGCTCTGACCTTAGTTATTTATTTTCTTCTGCTGGGTTTGGGTTTGATTTGCTCTTCCTTTTCTAGTTCCTTGAGACAATTCATCAGATTGTTGATTTGTGATCTTTCTGTCTTTTTGATGTGGGCATTTAAGGCTATAAATTTTCCCCTTAGGACTGCTTTTGCTGAATCCCATAGATTTTGATAACTTGTGTCCGCTTTGTCATTTAGTTTGAGGAATCTTTTGATTTCCATCTTTATTTCCTCCTTGACCCAATAATTGTTCAGCAGTGGGTTGTTTAATTTCCATGACTTGTGTAGAAGTGAGTGTTTCTGTTGGAGTTGATTTCTAATTTTATTCCACTGTGGTCTGAGAAGATACATGGTATAATATCTATTTTTTTGAATTTGTTGAGACATGTTTTGTGGCCTACGATGTGATCAATCTTAGAGAATGTTCCATGTGCTGATGAAAAGAATGTATACTCAGTAGTTTTTGGGTAGAATGTTCTGTAAATGTCTGTTAGGCCCATTTGCTCTAGGGTCCCATTTAAGTCCGGTGTTTCTTTGTTTATTTTCTGCTCGGAGGATCTGTCCAGTTCTGTCAGTGGAGTGTTAAAGTCCCCCGCTATTATGATGCTGTTGTTTATCACTTTGTTTAGATCTAGTAGGGTTTGCTTTAGAAATCTGAGTGCACCTGTGTTAGGTGCATAAATATTTACGGCTGTTACGTCTTCTTGTTGCATTTTTCTCTTTGCCATTATATGATGACCCTCTTTGTCCTTCTTTACCATAGTTGGTTTGAAGTCTACATTATCTGATATGAGAATGGCTACCCCAGCTTTCTTTTGATTTCCATTTGCATGGAATAGTTTTTTGAATCCCTTCACCTTGAGTCTGAGTGAGTTCTTGTGGGTTAGTTATGTTTCCTGGAGACAGCAGATACTTGGCTTATATTTTTTTATCCATTCAGCCAACCTGTGCCTCTTGAGTGGGGAATTCAGAAAAGAGCGTGAATAGCCAAAAGCAACCTTAAGCAAAAGGAACAAATCTGGAGGCATCACTTTATCATACTTTAAGCTATACAAGGCTATAGTAACCAAAACAGCATGGTACTGGCACAAAATTAGAGACATAGACCAATGGAACAGAACAGAGATCCCAGATATAAAACAATCCACATATTGCCATCTGATATTTGACAAAGCAGACAACAGTATACACTGGGGAAAAGAAGCCCTCTTCAATAAATGGTGCTGGGCAAATTGGATAGCCACATGTAGAAGATTGAAACAGGATCCATATCTCTCACTACTCACTAAAATTAATTCAAGATGGGTAATAGACTTAAACCTAAGACATGAAACCATAAGAATTCTAGAAGAAAATGTTGGAAAAACTTTTCTAGATATTGGCCTAGGCAAAGAATTTATGAAGAAGACCCCAGTGGAAATCACAGCAACAACAAAAATAAATAAATGGGACTTGATTAAATTAAAAAGTTTCTGCACAGCCAAGGAAACAATCATCAGAACAAATAGACAACCTACAGAATTGGAGAAAATATTTGCATGCTATACATCTGATAAAGGGCTAATAACCAGAATCTATAAAGAACTCAAGCAAATAAGCAAGAAAAAAAAATCAAACAACCCTATTAAAAAGTGGGCAAAAGACATGAACAGAAGCTTTTCAAAAGAAGATAGACAAATGGCCAATAAACATATGAAAAAATGCTCAACGTCACTAATCATCAGAGAAATGCAAATCAAAACCACAATGAGTTATCACCTAACTCTAGTGAGAATGGCTTTTATCAAAAAGTCCCAAAACAATAGATGCTGGCACGGATGTGGAGAGAAAGAACACTTATACACTGTTGGTGGGACTGCAGACTAGTACAGCCTCTATGGAAAATAGTATGGAGATTCCTCAGAGCACTAAATGTAGACCTGCCATTTGATCCAACAATTCTGCTAGTTAGTATTTACCCAAAGGAAAAAAGTCTTTTTATCAAAAAGACACTTGCACTCGAATGTTTATTGCAGCACAATTCATAATCGCAAAGATGTGGAATCAACACAAGTGCCCATCAATACATGAGTGGATTAATAAAGCATGGTATATGTATACCATGGAGTACTACTCAGCCATAAAAAATAAATTAATACCTTTTGTAGCAAACTGGTTGGAACTGGAGACCATTCTCCTAAGTGAAGTATCACTAGAATGGAAAAACCAGCACCACGTGTACTCACTATTAAATTGGAACTAACTGAACAGCACACGTGCACAATAGGATGTAAAACTCAGTGGAAATCAAACAGGTGCAGGGGGAGTGGATGGGTGAATTCATACCTAATGGGTACAGTGTACACTATCTGGCTGTTGATCACACTTACAACTTTATCTCAAGCAGTACAGAAGCAATCCATGTAACTAAAACATTTGTACCCCCATAATATTCTGAAATAAAATATAAAAACTTACTCAGGCTTAGAAAAAAAACACTGCCAATCCACTTTTCACATTTGATTCAAAATTGTTTTTAAAAACATTGCATTAAAATTTGATTTCCTAATTAGCTTGTCTTGACAAATTTTATTTGTAGCTTCTGTTTATTATCTATTCTAATCTGCTTTTCCTCTTCAGAATATTGACAAATTTTCTAGCTGTTGAGATATTTCTTTCCTAATTACTTTGTGACAAAGTAGTGAAGCAGAATCTGCTTCTAAGACCTTGCCTGGGTGTTAAGTAATTAGCTTACCAAGTAGCATGATTTTTCCTCATGCTAATTAGCTTAGCTCCTGTCATTTGTTGTATATTGGAAGAAACCCATAACATGATTTGTATTTCTTTGTTATAAATCAAGAAGAGTTTATGCTCTTATTTTTGTCATTCTTGCTAACCAAAGAGATAAGTATTTTGTGAAGTTATCTTGGGCACACATCAGTACAAGATGTTGCCTATTTAGTTCCAACAATAGCTGAAATGACGCATTTCTCCAGTTAATATTTATAGTATTCAAACTATCACCATAGTTACATTTAAAAATCACGTTAGTAGCATAGTTAAAACTTACATATTGGCAATAGTCATGGTTAATGTGGAAGAGGACTGCTGTGCTATATAATACGAAGTGCTAAGAGCGCAGACCCTTGAACAGCAGGGAGTTCAAGTCCCTGCTCTTCCGTTTGCCAGCTGTATGACCTGGAGTATGTTGCTTTACTTCCCCATTCCTCAGTTTCATCGCATGTCAAGTGGGGATAGTAGAAGTATGGGATTGTGTATGTAAAGAACTTAAAATACTACCTGAACATTAGTGCCATATGTGGACTGTAGGAGCCAGATGATTTTGTTGTTTATTTAACAAGCACAGAAAAGCTGATGGGAAACGCTGGCTACTGTGGCTGTAGTAAATATTCTTATGTATTCTTTTTGTTTCTTCTTAGCTTTTCCTAAGCCCAAGCGGGAGTCTGCATTATTTGATTCTTATTCAGAGTCACTGCCAGCAAACCAACAACCCCGTGACTTGAATCGGATGGAGGTAAAAGATCTTCGTATGTTAATAAATAAGGATATGTATCGAATTAAATCCATTAGCCTGTGTTCTTTACAAACTCTGGAAAATGAACTTTCATAACATTTTCTCTTCATAGTTGCTAATTCCTTTGGGGCTCAGCTTTTCAAATCTAGACATATAATGTATCTATAATTATTTTTTTCTTTTCTCCCTGAAATTAGATTTGGTGAAGTAAGTAATATAGTCTCTAGAACTTCTAGAGGTGAAATTTTTAGGTATAGCCATAGTGAGCCAGAAAATGCTAGCCAAGTTATTTGCTTCAACTAAGCTTTAATTCCCTAGCAAACAATTTATTATATTGTATTTTTATTAGCTGGGCATTAACAAAGTATAATGAACCAGAACAGTTTGGAGAAGAGGTTTTTTTTTTTTTGTGACAGAGTCTCACTCTGTTGCCTGGGCTAGAGTGCCGTGGCATCAACCTAGCTCACAGCTGGAGAAGAGGTTTGAGAACTTTATATGAGGGTCCCAAATCACATTCAGAGGTCCGTCAGGGTTTTTAGTTTTGGAGCAAATGAGGACTGATTTGGATGATCCCGAAAAGAAATTTGGAGAATTCCCTCAATGTTGAGCCATTGAGGGAAGGGCTTAGCCAAGTGCTTTGTGATCCTTAGCTGTGGATCAATAGATAGGAGTCATTATGATTAATGCTATCGTCACCTCTATCATTATCATCATCATCATCACCATTATGATTACTATGATGACAACTTAGGATACCTGCTGTCTCTTTCCTTAAAAAAAAACCAGAAATGTTTAATAAATGGAGGTTTATTTACAGCCTCCTATTAGAGTCCTCTGACCCTAGTTAAACCGTTACAAGGTGATAGAAGTCAAAAGCAGGATACAGGGACATTTCTTTAATTTTTTGTGACTGTGCGTGATTATCTGTTCTCTCCCATGGGGCTCTCATGCCTCCAGCGTGTGTTACCGATGACGTCCCTGCTCTCCCGTGAGCCAGTCTGGACTGCGTCTCCAGTACCCCTTTGAGTGGCATCTCTCTTTGCTGCTCTTCTACTCTTTCTTTGAGTTGTAGCCTTCATGGTACATTCCTCAGCTGATTTCTGCTTATGGGAAAAAGTTACAAAGAAAAGTGATTTCAGGAGGAGTGGTGGATATGCATTTGAAGAATTTTGGTTTTTAACATTTCTTTTTCTACAGAATGCATATGATAAAGAAGCAAATATAATAGTTTGCCACTTGGGATGGCGCTCAGTTTACTTTGGGGCTTCTGGCAGTGTCTAGAAAGGTTTGCTTATTAAGCTAGGATGAATGCCTCTATTCCTCTCTGACACAGTTGCCTTTTTTTTTTTTTTTTTTTTTTGTGATGGCTCCCCTGCTTGTATAAAATTATGAGGTTGTTAGGTGATTTTCTTAAAAATATCATAAGCTCTTCTTCTTTCTCTATAAATATATTGTTCCATCTTACCATGGTATTAGATGGTCTCCACCCTTATAAAAGAGACAAATAATACTTATTTTTTGTAGAAATTATGTTGCTGACTCATGTTGCTTTTTCCATGTAGTCATTTATCATCTGCCCAAAAGGAAAGAAGAGGAAATATACAGGCGGCCATAAAGTCTGTTTTACACGCGTGTGCGCGCGCACACGCCCTGGGCAGATGTCCTTAATGAGATTATATATATTCACTTTTATGGACATTATGGGCAGCTAGTTTTATATACTTCTGTATCACTTCATCTGGACCCCTTGGGGAGAGGAGGTTGAAAACTACCTAGTCTTCTGTTTTTTTTGTGCAAGAAAGCAAAACAACAACAAAAAAACCCCTTTTTTCCAACCAAACTGTTATTTTTGAAGATGGGTGTTTTTAGATAGTGAATATAGTAAACAGAATTCAAAGGCAAAGTAATAGAGTTAACTGGTGGTTTGACCATTCAAGAAGTATATGTCAGATTTTAAGAGTTGATGATTAAATATTTCATGTTCTAAACTGTTACTCGTTCTTTCTGCTAGTCTTTTATTCTATCCTGAATGCATGGAGTTTTGTAGATTTTGGTACCAGCCCTGTGAATGATGATGCTAGCATAGGTATTGGCGTTGTGAACAAAGCTGTGGCTGATTTAGGTCTCAAGGTATGAGAAATTTGCTTAGCAGTGCCTCTTTTTCTAAAGACAGCAGAGTTGTAACTGTGTACTTATTTCTGTCAAGAATTACGGATTATATAATACGATGGGCACAGAGAGATGTGAAGGTCATTGGAAATCAAGAAACAGGGAGACGGGTTAGGAGGGGAGGTGTAAAACCTACCCGTCACGTACAGTAGACATATTCAGGTGATGGACATGAGCATTATAAAAGGTATCCATATGACAAAAACATTTGTACCCCCTTAATATTTTGAAATAAAAATTAAAGGCATGCAACCTACAAAAAAAAAAAAGAATTACAGTTTATAATTTCAGGTATATTCTTCCTTAGCAGTGTTCCTTATATTACTAGATTTCTTTCTTTTATAAATAGCTTTATTGAGATATATTTCACATACCATATCCATTGCAAGTATACAATTCATATTTTTTTAGTATATTAACAGAGTTGCTGAACCAAAATTAGACCTACAGTCTAATTTTAGAACATTTTCATCACTCCAAAGAGAAACCCTGCACTATTCCCTCCTCTCTGCCAGCCTCTGGTAATCACTGGTCTATTTTCTGTCTCTGGATTTGCCTAACATGGACATTTCACATAAATGGAATCATATAGTACGTGATGTTTAGTGACTGACTTCTTTAACTTAGTGTAACCTTTTCAAGGTTGACTCATGTCATAGCATGTATCAGTGCTTCATTCCTTTTTATGGCTGAATAATATTCCATTTATGTATATAACACATTTTGTTTATCCATTCCTCAGTTGATAGACATTTGGGTTATTTTCACTTTTGGCATTATAAATAATGCTACTATGAACATACATATACAAATTTTTGTGTGGACATAGATTTTCGGTTCTCTTGGAGATATATTATACCTAGGAGTAGAATTGTTCGATTTTATCATAACTTTGTGTTTAAGTTTTTGAAAACTGACCAAACTGCTTTCCAAAGCAGCTGCACTATTTTAAATTTCCCCACCAGCAGTGTGTGAGGATTCCAATTTCCCCACATCCTTGCTAACACTTGTTATTATCTATCTTTTTGATTTTAGCCATCCTGGTGGAATGAAGTATCTCATTGTGGTTTTGATTTGAATTTCCTAATGAATAATGACGTTGAGCATCTTTTCATATGCTTGTTAACATCATTTATATATCTTCTTTGCTGAAGTGTCTGTTCAAGTCCTTTGTCCATCTTTAAACTGGATTATTTGTCTATTACTGAGTTGTAAGTGTTCGTGCGCTTTGGTGTGAAAGCTAAGAAACCATTGCCTAATAAAAAATCACAAAGAATTACTCCCATGTTTTCTTCTAAGAGTTTTATAGTTTTATGCTTTACATTTAGGTCTGTGATCCATTTTGAGTTAATTTTTGTGTATGCTCTTAGGAAGGGATCCAACTTATTAATAATTTTTTTGTATGTGGATTTCTGATTGTCCCAGTGCCATTTGTTGAAAAGTCAATTGTTTTCACATTGAATTGTCTTGCACCCTTGTTGAAAATCAATTGACTGTAAATCTAAGGGTTTATTTCTATGTTCTCGATTCTATTCCATTGATCTCTATGTTTATGATTATGCCAGTACAACACTGTCTTGATTACTGTAACTTTGTGGTAAGTTTTGAAACTGGAAGTGTGAGTACTTTAACTTTGTTCTTCTTTTTAAATAATATTTTGGCTATTCTAGCTCCCTTACATTTCCACATGAAATTTAGAACAAGCTTGTCAGATTCTGCCAAAAGAAAAAAAAGGATTGCATTGAACGTGTAGATCCATTTGGGGAATATGGCCATCTTAATAATATAAAGTCTTCTAATGCATGAACACGGGATATCTTTCCATTTATTTAGATATTTAATTTCTTTCAGCAGTTTTTAAAAATTTCTCTTTATCTACATTGTCTATTCCTAATTTTCTTCTTCAAAGAGATCTGGTTTATAATCCAGATGGGAGAAGGCAGTAAAAGAAATACACTGTTCAAATATTATACGTTGTTTTATTGGAGATAGTAGACTTTGAATGGGAAATTGTATCTGGAGGCTTTGTTATAATGCCAAGAATTACCTGACTGAGAATTGTTAAATCCTAGTCAGATTCCTCCGAAGTAGTACTTTAACCTCATTCCTTGTAACAGTTTAAAAACAAAAGTACTGCTTATCTCTCTGGGATTGTTTTGGTTCTAAGAGGTAAACCAATTAACCTTTTGGAGCATGGGACAGCTCCAGGAATTTACTCTCTTTCCTTTAAGTTTTAAAATTTATCTTTATTTGATTTTTGAATATGTTAAAATATAAAGAATATCAAAAGGCATATAGTGAAAAGTCCTCTTCCTCAAACCTTTCTTCCATCTACTGAGTCACCCTTCAATATATGTATCTTTCCAGCGTTTGCATATATAAAGTAAATATGAGCATGTTATTCTTTAAGTGAATCTTATCACAGACCTTAGAGTGCATATTCTTTTCCAGCTTTATTGAAGTATAATTGACAAAACTTATATGTATTTATGACATTTGGCGTATGTATACATTGTGAAATGATTACCACAATCAGGCTAATTAACATATCTGTCACCTCACATATTTATCTTTTTTTGTGGTAAGAACATTTAAGATCAACTCTGTTAGCAGTTTTCAAGTATACCATACATTATTATTAACTACGGTTAGAATGCATATTAATTGAGAGTTTATAGGAAATAAATTTATGGTAAGATTTTAAACAATTAAAAACTAATTCAGACTTGATCAATTTGAGTATTCATCTTATTAGTATTATATAAGTGAGGATGTCCCCCATATGTAAGTTAGGAGAAAATTTTGATCCGCTCATCAATAAAATTCTCTTATTCTATAGCAAGGAGGTTATTTTTTAATCAGGGTTGGATACCCTCTTCATGACAAATCCTGGCAAATAACCCATATTCTGGGGCCACTTGTCAGAACCTCTCTCTGCTTGTGACAAGATACGTAAAGGACAGGTTTGTTCTTGGCTGAACGGACAAACGCTGTCCAATTCTCGGGCTGAATCCCAGTCCAGATTCAGATTTAACACACATGCTTTGATCTGAATCATTATTTTTTCTTCTGTGTATATAAAAATATCGATACAAATTAACTTATACCTCACTAGGAGCCTAAAAACATAAGATACTGTTAAATGTCAGGGTTTACCGAGGACAGAAATGTTGGCAAGAAGTATAGCTTTTAAAACATTTTCATCATATGTGCACGTCATTTAATTTCCATTCCTACCTGTATGATTCATTTAATTTTCTTTTCAAAGATGGCATCTGTTAAAGACATGGCAGACTTTCCTGTTCCTACCCAAGATGCAACTGGTGATGACAAGCAAGGTATGAAAAGAATGAATTTTCTTCCTTTACGGACATCTACTTCTGTTTCCTTTTCTACTTTCTTGGAATGCCTGGCTTCTAGAGCATGTGAGGACAGCTCTCAGTATGTAAACACATTGGATAGATTAAGTAGTTCAAATTGTCACAAAGCAGTAGTTCATAAAGTGGTAGCAATAGCTTGAGTATCCAAAGCCCCACAACTCATTGGCCCACTAGTCACTGCTAACCCTCAGGCTACTCTGACACTTTACATTGTAATCTGGTCTCCTAGGAGTTAGGAAATGACTGGAAGCTGAAAGAATTGAGAGCTTAACATCTCATGCTGGCAGATGTGATCCCAGGACATCAATGTCAATGCATATTTGCACACAAGTCTAATCCATGAGAAAGTTCTCTTCTAGGCAGAGCTTTTGGCTCTGGGCTTTATCTGTTTCTTGGTGGCTTTGTGGGCATAGATGTGTGCTGTGGAGCCAGCTACAATTTGCATATCTTACTGGGTGGCTGACAAGCAGTACAGCACGGTATTCCATGTTAGTGCTGCCATCAAGCACAGGGATGAGTTGGCCTGAGAATAGCTAGAAGTGTGGAAGGGACCCTCTCCCTCACCCCCTATACATTGTATAATGCTTTATAATCTACTAGGTCCTTTGGCATACACTGTCTTTTTCAGTCCTCACAAAACTGAGCGGAGGCTGGTATGTTTTATCGCCTAAAATTTTGAGATGAGTAAACTGAAATTCAAGCAGTATGAATCATTTGCTTAGTTATTAAGAGAAAGAGCTTGGGCAAGAACCAAAATTTTCTAAGTCTCAAGCTAGTATTCTGTTATCTGATATTGATTCGCTACCCATGAATGAGAAGCTTATTTGAAGGGACTAAAAATCAGTGAAGCTATTTCAGGTTTTATTATTGGGATCCGCCATTGATTCAGCATTGTACAGGGGCTGAATGTGAAAAACAAGTTTTCCAAGGAACAGTAATTGTATGCTCTCTATTTAAATACTTGCTCAGCAGAAGCAGACAGAACTGGACGTTGCAGTAGTATGTACTCTAATCACTCTCTTAACTGGTGGATCTTAGCCATGATTTCACAGTGGAATAACCAGGCAAGCTCTAAAAATATTGAAGCCTGGGTTTCACACCCAGGGATTCTCATGTCATTGGTCTGGATGTCAGGAATGAGAGGGGGAAATTCCTGATACTTCTTGGTAATATTCCTCCTAACCACTAGAGGTGCTCTCTGGAAAGTTGAAAATTTATCTTTGCTCTCTGGAGGAGGTGCACCTGTTTCCATACCCCAGGAGGTCTTTATTGTTTTAGCAAATGCTATAGCAACTTCTAGAGGTTTGTAAGATCTGTTTTTTGTAAGTGATGACTAGGGATTCTTTGTTTTAATGTAATATGCCTCAGAAATAAAAATTTTATAGATTTTCTTCTCCCTTCTCTTTCTTGTTCCTTAAAAATAAAACAAAACACCACTAGCTTTGAAAAGTACTACCAACGAAGCCTTACCAAAGGACGTGTCTGAGGATCCAGGTAGGAGAAAACCATATTCATATACTTTTCATGTAATTATTTGTAATTAAGAAAACTAAGTTTCAGTGAGTAGAAGATTGCCACCTCTGTGATAGTGTGTTTCTCTCTAAATATTTGTCTTGTGTTTTATTATAAGGAAAACTTTTGGCTTTTTATCCTTTTTTTCTTTTCAGGTATGAGAAGAAGGTAATTTCTTTTTAAGTTCTGAATTTAGGTTTCACTGAAAGGATCACTCAGTGTGAATTTAGGGTCTTGTTACTAAGTGTAAAATTGAGAAGGCTTGGAGGTAAAATGATTTCAACAAGCCATTATGGTTTCTGTGTAGGGTAAGGAACTGAGGGGATAGATCAACTAGAAGCCCAGAGTTGGTTATTTTCCATTTCCAAAGCAAAAATCCCAAATAGTTTCATTATGCTTCACCACCCGGACAGCAAGTATATGTGCTTATACATGGAGTAGATACCAAGGAGAAAAATAAGTTATGTTTGTCCAGTTTCTTGGAGAGTCAAAACTGTGTCTGTGGAGCCATGGAGAATAGCTGGGCCTGTGTCCTCAGCGTTCTCTCGATGGTGCCATCATTGAACCAAAATAAACCTAGTTAAAAACAAAGTGGCTATGGAAGGTATTACTGTTTGGAGCTCTGCTTATGAGGACATGAATGAAGTTGCTGCTTTACCTCTTGCTGTTATCTCTCTTGCATATTTATTAAGTAGATCATGTTTGTTGTGATTAGCTAGCTATCACCCCAGGCTTATTTGTTTAAAGTTGGAACAGAGGAATCAATATAATGTTGAACCTTATCCTGTGATACAATATTTTCCAAATGCCAAGCTCATTCAAGGGTTAAAAGAGAGGGTGGAGGGAGAGGAAGGAGTTGGGGGAGGGAGGGAGAAAGGGGCAGGGAAAGAGAGAGAGAATATATGCATGAGAATATATGATTGGTGTCAGTGATGGAGGCCTGAGAATCTGTATTTTCAGGCAGCTCCCCAGGTGATTCTGGTGCTTAGCCTGTTTCGGGAACCACTACGTCTAGAAGGTGATGCTACAAAATAGAAAATTAAGATTGTAGATCAATCGCGATTCCAAAAGTAGTGGGAATTCACAAGCTTAATTTTGATTTTTGAAACTGATTGGGTCCATTCATCATAGGGTGAAATGCTCTATTGATGTAGGCCAAATGTCTGAAGTCAGTTTTTCCAGCTCTAATTTCTGGAGCTAAAGTGGATGCATTCCAGTGTTGGTAAATTTCATGTTATGGCATTAGCAAAAGCTATTTAAATTTGGAGTGTTAAATTGGTGCTTCTCCAGCAGTCTTTAAGGATCATAACTCTTTCTAGTTTTTTTAGGGTTCTTAGCACGAGATTAAGTGTTCTCTGGGCATGAGCTTTAGATCTCATTTTTTTTTTTTTTGAGACAGAGTCTCGCTTTTGTTGCCCAGGCTAGAGTGAGTGCCGTGGCGTCATCCTAGCTCACAGCAACCCCAAACTCCTGGGCTCAAGCAATCCTTCTGCCTCAGCCTCCCGAGTAGCTGGGACTACAGGCATGCGCCACCATGCCCGGCTAATTTTTTCTATATATTTTTAGTTGTCCGATTAATTTCTTTCTATTTTTAGTAGAGACGGGGTCTCGCTCTTGCTCAGGCTGGTTTCAAACTCCTGAGCTCAAACAATCCGCCCGCCTCGGCCTCCCAGAGAGCTAGGATTACAGGCGTGAGCCACCACGCCCGGCCTAGATCTCATTTTTAACATTCCTTCACTGACTAGGATATGGCATCACCAAACAAAACCTAACAGGTGTGCCACAGTACGTGAAGTATATCTGGATTTGTGTCACGTTGTGCCTGGAAACATGCTGTATGTTTTCTGATTTGTTCTTCCCACTGCCGCCCCTTTCTGGCTATGAGGGACTCCCTCATGTCAAACATAGTTAATATCCTCTTTCCTGGGAAATGTTTGGATTCCCAGTGCGAGACACAAGAGTTGCAAGGTGGTGATTTAGAATGCCAGGTGGCTGTCCATGCCATGTGGACAGTTCACCTCAGTTCAGTTGCTACCTGTTCGGAGGGTTAACTTTAGGCTTGCTCTCTCTTCCTGTTCCCATTTCTTGGAAAGATGACATGCCTGGAATGTTCCAGGAAGTTGTCATTCTTCTTCCCCCTTCCAGCTAAATGAGAAGCTATGTGTGATACATTCATTGGCATCTGCTTGAATTCACTGCACAGCATGCCGTTGCCATTTTTGCAGATATTCACATGCACCAAAGACCAAGTCTGACTTTTGGAGGCTTGGAGGATGATAGAAGAGTTAACTAGAAGTAGTGTTCAGCTTGTTCTAGGCTGAAACCTGTGGAGACCTACCAAGACCTGTCTAGGATATATTTTTGCAAGTGGAAGGAGAAGCATCTCCCTGCCCTGCTCTCCCACAGTTGGTGGTAATCATGATGATGAAGATGAGGATGTACTGGTGATAGATGGGGTGGTACTATGTTATCAGGGAATGGAGACATTCCTTGTTAAATATTTTTTCATATACCCATACCCTTTTAATTGCTGAAAGTGAATATGTTAGTGGAGTCTAAGAGATTTCTTAACCAACATTCCATTCCAACCTAATTCAATAGAGCCCACTGCACAAAAAATCTTTTTCTTGATGTGTCTGGGTCATGCTGAGGTTTTAGGTCAGTTCACCCTTCCAGTGCAGTCTTCAGACTGATGTTGGTGATTTTAGCAGCTGCTCCATTGCCAGCTATCACTCCGTGGTTTTACTGGGGTAAAGCAGTTCTCTCCTTCCATTACCTGTTCCCACCTGTACCTCCTTTGCTGTCCTAGAAGGAACCAGATCTCCAAAGCTTGAAAAATTAGGAGTTTTATTTATGCTTCTACAACAATAATGTTTTGAAATTCTAAAATACAAATACATTCAGTTTTCAAAGAACCTTCACCTTCTTATCTGTCCTTATGAGAAAGGGGCTGTGTTTTTGTGAGGAAAATGAAGTTTGGGGAGGTAACAGCTAGTTAGTGTCATGGCCAGGAGGACCGCCCAGGCCTCAGGACTCCTGGCCTGGTCTCTGGCCCTGTCTCTCCACTGCTCATCCACATCCTCACCCCATCTGTCTGTCTGTCTATCTCTCACCAGCAGGGCTCACCCCTCCTTCCACACCCATTCCTACACCAGCAAAAAGGCAAAGATAATGGCAGTTGACAAAGGAATTAACAGTCACCGTGGTCTGGTTTGGGGAACGGTATTTTAACATGGCCAGGACCTCTCCTACCCACGTATTTCTTGAAAGCAGTGGGGCCTGAGGGAGAAGAAGGCCACGGAGCCAGCCGCAGGCAGCCTGCCCAGAGGGCTTCCCCAGCTCTGCGGTGAGTCTGGTCACACTCTGCCCACCCAGCTCCAAGGCAGCCTTGTTGGTGGGAAGAGAGGCTCCCCCACTCAGGCCGCCCTTCTTTGCTGCCTGGGGTTTGCAGGTGGGAGGGAGGGATTTTTCCATCTGTATCCAGGTGCAGGTACACAATAATGGGCAAGAGGGGAACTCTGACTCCTTGGGCTCTCTGTACTTTCCAGGGCTGTGGCAGTGTTTCAGTCATGTGAAGCCAGAAGATGCCTGTGTTCTCACTATAACAAGCCAGAATGCTTAGGTTGGGAGAAAGGCATCTCTTCTGCAGTTGACCACATCTAAGGGAATATATATCAGTAGTTTGCTTTGTGCCTTGTTAGCATTTGTGAGGATTCTCAGCTCCCCTTTCTGCCCTGCTTATCTAACCCAAGGATTTTAATGATCATCATAAAGTCAGGCTGCTCCACACCAAGGAGGGATTTTATCTTTGGAGCAACGTAAACGAGGATGGGATAATGCAGTGAGACCTTTTCTTTTCAGAAGAATCTGTGAAAACAAATAAATTATGTTTTCCTTGTTCCTCAGTGCTCTTTCTATGAATTCTTATGACATTTGATGGTGAACAATTTACAGTATTTGCAAAACCATAGCGTAGATACTGGTTCCTAAAGTTGTCTTCCATAGAGGAAAACATTGAAAACATAAAAAGAGGATTAATATTTTTGTAAATGTTTCTAATTACTCTTCACAACTTGTGACGGGAAAGAGGACTACATTGGTGTTGGTAGTGAGCAAGTTAGTTTGTGATTTAAATTTGATGAGGAAAAGTCATGTGGCTGACAAAGTATTTAATGATTTTATTTCATAATATTCTCCGTATGATTTGGTCACAGAGATGTGGGACACAAAGAATATTTTCTTATAGGAAGAGCAACATAGCTCATTTCAACTTAACTTGTGGGAACTTTGCTTTCTTGTGGCCTTGCTGCCTTGCTAGTATATTTTTAAAAAATGTGTAGCCAGATAGACTTCTTCCTAGCCTTCAGGGGAGACTGGTTCAAAATCTATTACTAGGCTATCATGATAGACCAAGAAACCCTCAAGTGTGAATCCATCATTATATAAAAAGACAACCCCCTATAAGGGGTTGCCTTTTTATACTGGAATGTCTTCATTAATCAACTCGGATTTGAGAATAGCTTCTCAGTATTGTGACAAAAGGAAAAATATGCTGGCTTTCTTTCCTTTTAATTGCGTTTTCGCTTTAGACTTAAAATGAGAAAATCATGACAATGTGAAAGTGGTTAAGTTCTCCACGTGGACATTTGTATTCCACATTTACCTGTTGATGTGTTCTATACTAGCCCAGGTGCTGCATATAAACCTGTTTAACTGCAGAAATGAAACCCAAGCAAACAACAAATAATTTTTGTTTCAGCAACTCCTAAGGATTCCAACAGTGTCAAAGCAAGACCAAGATCCAGGTAGTGTTTGTTTAATTTCTGCTTTAATGCCCTTTGTGCCCTGTCCCTGATTACAAATGAAAGCCCCAAACCGAAAACCCAATGCATGATTTCCTTTCCCCTTAGATTGAAATCTCAGGATCTGACCATTTCACTAATGAGTGGCCTCATGGGAACATTCGGTGATGCTGGAGAGCCTCTTAGTTTCTGCAGCTGGTCATTAGTGCTGGAAGGTGGCAGCTGATGCTCTTTGGCCCCCTGCTGTGAAGTGGGTTGTGTGGGATGACCCAGTTGTTGCAGAGTGATAACTAGTAGGGGGGGAAGTAGCTTTGAAAAGAGGGAACTATGGTTCAAAGGTAACAAACACTGGAATTTGCTATCATGACAAGAGGAATACCAAAAAGTAAGAAGTCTGGGGAATAAAATCTAGACTAGGGAAAGAAAATGCTTATGAGGACTTCAGTGAAGCTTGAAGCTTCAGGTGAGCAGTGCTTACGGTTTGTTTGAGTCTATCTTAGTGCCTCTTGTCAGCCTCACATTTTTTAAGTAGTTAGAAGCTAGTAGAAGATGGAAAGTCAGTAAGGCAGAGCTTCGGTTGACATCAGATGCAAAAGAGAGGAGCAACAGGAAATATAGAAACACTAATAGAATTAATCCATCAAAGAGAGGAAATGGTACTGGGAGCGCTCTTCACCAGTGGAACTGCAGTGAAAGATAGGTACTATGTGTGTGTTTTCTAAGTCTTGCTTTGGCTCTTAGTGACTTTTTCCCTCCTTTGGCTACCAGACACATTCTTGAGAAGGTAAATTTAAGTCTGATCATATTTTAAATGCTTAAAATACTGACATTGAAGGAAATCTCATATCTTTGTAAATCAAAGATTTACCCCTTACTTTATCTTTTATGTCTACATTTTCCAAATTGGGGTTTTGTTTCCTTGTTTATAGAAGGCATAGAT